CAACACCCCCATGCAACGCTACAGGCTTGGGGAAGAGTGGCTGGAAAGTTGTCTGGCAGAAAAGGACCTAGGGGTTCTTACTGACAAGCAGCTGAATATGAGCCAGCAGTGTGCCCAGGTGGCCAAGAAAGCCAATGGCATCCTGGCTTGTATTAGAAATAGTGTGACCAGCAGAAGTAGAGAGGTGATTGTCCCCCTGTACTCAGCACTGGTGAGGCCACACCTGGAGTATTGTGTCCAGTTTTGGTCACTTCAATTCAAGTGAGATATCGAGATGCTGGAGCGAGTACAGAGGAGGGCAACAAAGCTGGTGAAGGGCCTAGAGAATAAATCTTATGAAGAACGCTTGAAGGAGCTGGGAATGTTTAGTTTGAGAAAGAGAAGGCTGAGGGGAGACCTCATCAGTCTCTACAACTACCTGAAAGGTCATTGTAGAGAGGTTGGTGCTGGTCTCTTTTCACAGGTAATTAGCAACAGAACAAGAGGCAATGGGTTCAAGCTGTAACAGGGTAGGTTTAGACTGAACATTAGGAAATTTTTTTTCACAGAGAGAGTGGTTAGACACTGGAATAGGCTTCCCAGGGAGGTGGTTGAGTCACCATCCCTGGATGTGTTTAACGGTCATTTGGATGTGGTGTTGGTGGAGATGGTTTAGGATTTAGGGGAGAACTTTGTAGAGTAGGGATGATGGTTGGACTCGGTGATCCCAAGGGTCTTTTCCAACCTGAATAGTTCTATGATTCTATGATCAGAAATCATGCTACCAGCAGGACTAGGGAAGTGATCATCCCTTTGTACTTAGCACTGGTGTGGTTGCACCTGAAATACTGTGTTCAGTTTTGGGCCCTCTGCTACAAGAAAGACATTGAGGTGCTGAAGCAAGTCCAGAGAATGGCAACAGAGCTGGAGAAGAGTCTGGAGAACAAGTCTTATGAGGATGGGTTGAGGGAACTGGGGTTGTTTAGCCTGGAGAAAAGGAGGCTGAGGGGAGACCTTATCCCTCTCTACAACTATCTGAAAGGAGGTTGCAGCAAGGTTAATGTCATTCTCTTCTCCCAAGTAGCAAGTGATAGGACGAGAGGAAATGGCCTAAATTTGTGCCAGGGGAGGTTTAGGTTAGATATTAGGAAAAATTTCTTCACTAAAAGGGTTGTCAGGCACTAGAACAAGCCTCCCAGGAAATGGTGGAATCACCATCCCTGAAGGTATTTAAAAGACATGTAGATGTGGTGCTTAGGGACATGGTTTAGTGGTGGAGTTGGCAGTGTTAGGTTAACAGTTGGACTTGATCTTAAAGGTCTTTTCCAACCAAAACAATGATTCCATGCTTTGAGATATTTTTAAAACTACTGAAAGACAGAGACATAAATTGTTGATTCTGTGAAAAAAAACAACAAACCTTAATGTATCTTGCTGTAATAGTTGTTCATTCCTAGTTTCAGTCATTTTTTAATAAATTCATGCAACCCCGGTCAAACTTGATGTTTTCCCTATTTTTAAAACATTTATTGAACTATGACTCAAATATGGTTTTAGTTCTATCTTCTTTCATAAGCTGGTGATTTATTGCCTAAATTAATGCCTGTTCATTTTAATTATTTTTTTTTCTTTTTCCTCTATTTTATTTCCTTTCCTGACTTCTTTCTGCATGTAATTGACTCAACTCATTTATGATATAATGTTTTCTAAATATTGATGTTTCATTGAAATTTATGTCAATTTACTTGTTCTGTGTAAAACATTTTATACTTTTCCAATGTTGTTAATATTATAAATCAACAAGTCAGAAATTAAAGTCTGGACTTTTCAATTTTATCATTAGTTTTCTGCTTAAGGTTGTTTGAAATAACTTTATCATGTCTGGAGATCATTTACCATTTTTCTTGGTATTCAGTATTGGCACTCTTCTTTCCAGGCTGTAACCCACCAAGTAATCACTTCAAGTTTTTGTTAATGAAATATCTTCACCTTAGAGCAAAAATCCTTATTTTGTACTTATCTTGAGTTCTGCTTTCCCATTTTTTGGCTAATGCCAAGCTGTGGATGAAAGAATATCTTTCAAATACAGATCATTAGCAAAACACACCTAAATTAATCCTAATCAATTCTAATTCACCTGGAAAAAAAGTCTAATATTATATTTAGAAGATAATTAGGAAATAGTTTTGTTTGTCAATATTTTTCTTTGTGACATAAAACAGAAATAGCTCATTTTCCATAATCTAATAAGTATAGATTAAATAGAAAGGTTGAAAGATATAATTAAGGTATTCTTAGGTGATTAGAGAAATGGTTTTGTTAATACACTCAAGTAAAGCTGAAGTTTACAATAATATTTTTCCTAGGCTTTTTTTCAGAATTGTAAATGCTCAAGTTTATCTTTCTATATTTGTGAATGTCAAGGCTTTAATTTAATAATGCGTTTATATCTACAAGTTTATATACTAATGATGAACAATACTTTTTTGTTATGTTTATTTGAAGTACAACATTATCTGTACTCATCTCAGAACCAGTTAGGTCTTGCTTCTCCTGCATCTTTACCTAGCTCTTTTATTGGAAACGTAAGCATGATAGTTCTGGTGATGATTTCTGTAAGAAAGTAAACATGAATATGGTCTTTGAAAGACCTGGATTAAAATTTTTCCTAATAATTTTTTTTTGCATTTTTCATGTATTGTGCTTAGTAAATTGCTCACAATTGACTTAAACAGATCTGTATGTCCAATATATTAATTATAATCTAAATTTTACTAGTAGTTCTGCAATAAAGAAGGATCAGAGTGGAAACCTATTTAATGAATAATGGCCATTAAAATATTGATACTTGTCTTTTTTAAATGACAAGTTATATTAAACATTAGTAGAATATAATTTTTTCAGTGATCTATTAGTAAATAATCCTGCAGATTAGTGTATTAAATGTCACATAAATTTTGTATATCTATTACTGTACTTTAAACACACATTTTGGTCATATTAATTGCTTTGATGGACAAAATTGAAATGGATAATGCAACTGTGTGAGGCTCCAGCATGTTAGAATAAAAATTTGTTCCACGTGCTAAAATTAAATCCATGGCTAGGGGATTTAATGGATGCTCAAACTAAGGCCAGAGTTTTGGTAGGATTTGTTGTCCTGGACATTTGTGAACCTGGGAAATTTGGATGCTTATGTTGATTTGTTTTGGTATAATTACTTTCTTAAGCAATTAAGAAGTAAATGCCAGCAGAAAACAAAATTTTATAATTATTTAAGCTGAAATTAAAGGGAAATACCAAGAATATGAAACCAAGGGGGAGGGGGGTGTAAACCAGGTAAAATGTTAGCATTCCCAAAAATCTGAAACCACAGAATTTACATATGACCACTATAAAAATATTTCCATTTTATTCTGTTGTTCTCCTATAATCTTAAATGTCATTAAAGTGACCATTTTGTGTATATGTGACTTACTATTTTTGCTATACGAAGGTACAACAATGTATTAGAAACTGCCTACATGCTTCCAAAATCGCTCACCAAAATTCTACATTAAATTACACAGAAAAAAAACCCCAAACTAATTCTGTTCCTCTTTGAAGTGAAAGGCAAACAAGCTACAAAGGAAAGGGTTTGGGCCCATAATATTTTATAGATGTACCAGTTATTTTTCATGTAATCTAGATTGCTTCTTACCTTATTTTTGCTAGATTCTTCTTTGTATCTGGAAGAAAATAAATCCTATTCAGTTAAATGAAATACTGGGGGTTTTTCTTTTTTTTTTTTTTTTTTTTCAGATTAAGAGAAATAGTATAAGATTCCAGAATTAAAAATGTATTAACTTACTCCTTTTAGTTTTTCCCCGAGATTAATGTTACATCAATTATTTTATTTCCTTGGAGTTCAAACAATTTGTATCCTAAGCACAAATACCTTAATAAAATGTTAGTGTATGGTACCAAATCTGAAATATTTTTAGAAGTGGAGCTATCTGAGGTCACAAGTGCAATGAGTTTTGTTATTTCCTTGTAATTCTAAAAGATACTAAGACATGGCATATCTAGCATTGAAAGAGATTTAAAGATATTATATTTACTTAAAGAACAACATCACTGTATTAAACAGGCCTTAAGAGTGGTCTAAAAAAAATCAGAAGTCTGTGTTGTACAATTAAGATTTTTTTTAGTAGAGTAATATAAAATTTACATATGTTCATTCTTTCATATTTGATATAGCTCCAATGGCTTTTAGACAACTATGAAACTGCAGAAGGAGTGAGTCTCCCCAGAAGTACCCTTTACAACCATTACTTACGTCATTGTCAGGAGCACAAGCTAGATCCAGTCAATGCTGCCTCCTTTGGAAAACTCATACGGTCAATCTTCATGGGATTACGGACCAGAAGATTGGGAACCAGGTTTGTGTTAAAGTGTAATAGAAAATATTGATAATAATCGTGAATATGAAGCTTGTATGCTAAAAATAAGCAAGAAAAAAAATAATAAATTAAAACCTTACTGTTAAGGGAGTTACCAAATCCAGTGGAATTCAGGACCCAGGGGACTCAGGACCCAGTCTGCTATAGCCAGATTCTGTGTACTCTTAAGGCACAGATACCTTCCATCTCAGTCCAATGGATGCAGCTACTGCTGTTCCTATTTGCAGGTCCAGCTAGTAGTGAAACTGAATGTGTGTTCTGAAGATGCAGCTAAACACACACATGACACTAACACAGCTAACCACACATGCTAACACAGAGCAATGCTTTTACCAGCACCCACATAGACACCAATAGCACTCACATAAATGTGAATGCAGATAGCCCAATTCTGTTCTTCCTCTTCAGCTGATCAGGACTGAAGTTGACTAGTGAAACATACACAAACCCCCACTCACATGCATACCTCATTTATGGAATTGTTTTATTTACCATGACTGCATAAATAACTTCTTTAGTTTTTACTTTCCTTATTCTATTTAAATGAAGTTAAATGGTAAAGTGCTAGAAAATATAGTTTAAGTGAACTGATTTCCAGAAGTTGGTGGAGTTATACGAATTCTATACTAGAGTGAGAGGAAAGTCGAGCCTAACTTTTATGTACTGCTTTCCAGTCAAGACAAATTGTGAAGTATGATGTATATGCATAAAATTAATGTTATTATTGTTCTTTCATAAAGAGGGAACTCCAAATACCATTATTATGGGATTCGTGTCAAACCAGATTCTCCCCTTAATCGGCTACAAGAGGACATGCAATATATGGCTATGAGACAGCAACCCATGCAGCAGAAACAGAGGTAGTGTTGAATTAAACTACTTTTTTAATATTTCTAGTTCTTGGAGACTTACCTTTCCTCATTTATGTAGCAAAGTTGAACCTGGAATACTGTGTTCAGTTCTAGTCCCTGGTATACAAAAAAGATGTGGACAGGCAGAAGAGGTTCCAGAGAAGGACCACAAAGACGTTCAAAAGACTGGGAAGCCTTGTATGAGGAAAGGCTCAGAGAACTGGGTTTGTTCAGCCTGGAGAAAATAAGGTTTAGGGAGACCTTATTGCCATATTTCAGTACTTGAAGGGTGGCTACCAAGAACATGGAGATTCCCTTTTTATAAGGAGTCACACTGAAAAGATGAGGGTTACTCCTGGAGAGATTCCAATTAGACACCAGAAGAAAATTTTTCACTATGAAAACAGTCAGCACTGGAATAATCTCCCCAGGGAGGCGGTGGATTCCCCAAAACTGGATGCTTTTAACACTCAGCTTGACAGGGTGCTGGGCCATCTCATCTAAACTGTATTCCTACCTAGAAAGGTTGGACCAGATGATTCTTGAGATCCCTTCCAACCTGGCATTCTATGATTCTATTATTGTTTTATGTTTAAGTGGAATTTCCTGTATTTCAATTTGTGCCCATTGACTTTTGTCCTTTCACTGGATACTAATGAAAATACTGTGGATCTGCTTTATTTATTCCATCCCAATAATATCTATATAAAGTAGTTCTGAAGATCTTTGTTCATCCCCTAAACCACTTCAGGTGTGCAAAGATTTCAGTAAAATAAATTTCCAAATCACAGGCATTCTAAATGGATGAAATGCAGAGAGCAGGGAGTTAGATTGACTGTGTAGTATTTACAAGGTGAAAAATTTCTTCTTTGCAAAATATACTTTTCAGATAAGAGATGTTTCTGCAACAGAAAAATTTGAAATTTTCATTGAAAAACTTTGGAACTCATGAACTTATCCATACGTTTTGTGTAAAAACTGCCAACTTTGAAGTTTGTTACTTACATGTTTTTATAGAAAACTAGATATTATAAAAGCAAGAGTAGATGTTTTTATAATATTTTCATCATATTGGAATATGCTTATCATAATAGAAATTATAAACAAAAAATTATATATATGAAACACAAGTATTTCTTATTCTAGCATGTTTAATACAATTTTGATGTACTCTAGAATGTAGAAATATTTTCTATTACATTTTATTTATGCTGATAACGTTATTTTGCAGTTTTTGGGATACAATTTTGTAAAATTTTCCCCTGAAATGTGTACATATATTTGGAACGCATATCAAGATTCTCATGCATGTACTAGACCTCAGAAGTTAGGGTTTGGGGGTGGGGGGAAGGATAAAAGAGCCAGGTGTAAGAAAAACAAACCAACCAAACAAACAAAAGCACGCATTAAGCTGCATTACATTTTTTTTAAAAAAACCTGTGTATTTCAAAACTAAAGACTTCTGCCACAGTTCTGAGGCATGCTCAGTAAATATTTGAGAAGTTTTGTAGATATCTGCATATTTATATAAAATTTATCTTACAGTATACAGAACTCTAGCACTGCACTAGAGTGTTCCAATGCAGGTTGTGCTGGCACTGGAGCCATCATGGAAACATGGTGGGATGATTTGCACAACTGGAGGGCTGCAATGGATGGCTACAAACTCTTCAGAAGAGATAGACAAGGAAGGAGAGGCAGTGGGTGGCCCTGTATGTTAGGGAGTGTTTTGATTGCCTAGAGCTTAATGATGGTAACGATAGGGTTGAGTGTTTATGGGTAAGAATCAGGGGGAAGGCCAACAAGACAGATATCATGGTGGGAGTCTGTTATAGACCACCCAACCAGGATGAAGAGACAGACAAAATATTCTATAAGCAGCTGGGAGAAGTCTCATGATCGATAGCCCTTGTTCTCATGGGGGACTTCAACTTCACAGATATCTGCTGGAAACATAATACAGCAGAGAGAAAACAGTCTAGGATGTTCCTGGAGTGTGTGGAAGATAACATCCTGACACAGCTGGTGAGTGAGCCAACTAGGGAAGGCATCATGCTGGACCTGCTGTTTGCAAACAGAGAAGGACTTGTGGGTGATGTAATGGTTGGAGGCCGTCTTGAGCTTTTGAGCACAGCAATCATTAAATTATGGAGTTTTCAATTCTTGGAGAAGTAAGGAGGGGGGTCAGCAGAACTGCTACCTTGGACATCCAGAGGGCAGACTTGGGCCTGGTTAGGGGCCTGGTCAAGAGTCCCTTGGGAGGCAATCCACAAGGGCAAAAGAGTCCAGGAAGGCTGGACATTCTTCAAGAAGGAAGTCTTAAAGGCACAGGAGCAGGCCGTACTCCGTATCAAAAGACGAGCCAGTGGAGAAGAAAAGCAGCCTGGATGAATAGAGAGATCTGTCTGCAATTAAGGGAAAAAAAGGAGAGTTTATGGCCTTTGGAACAAGAGGCAGGCCACTCAGGATGACTACAAAGATGTCATGAGGTTCTGCAGGGAGAAAATTAGAAGGGGAAAGCCCAACTAGAACTTAATCTGGCTACTGCCGTAAAAGACAATAGAAAATGTTTCTACAAATATATTAGCAACAAAAGGAGGACTAAGGAGAATCTTCATTATTTATGGGATGCAGGGGGAAACACAGTGACAAAGGATGAGGAAGAGGAGACTGAGGTACTTAATGCCTTTTTTCCTCCGTCTTTAACAGCAAAAACAGCTGTTGTGCAGGTACCCAGTCCCCTGAGCTGGAAGAAAGGGAAGGGGAGCAGAATGAAGCCCCCAGAATTCAAGGAGAAAGGGTTAGTGACTTGCTACGCCACTTGATGTCACAGTTTGTCTCAAGACTGGCAAATAAATCAGGGACAACAATGCTCTCGATCCCCTCCCCCTCCCACCCAGGTAGGGAAGGAGAGAGAGAATGAGAGACTCTCTGGATTGAAAACTAAACTAGACAGCTTTCATTAAACACTAATGATGAAAGAAAATATGTACAATTATATACAAATGTGTTCAGGAATGTGCAAACCCCTATTGCCTCCCCCCACCCACAGCAACTCCCATGGCACTCTCCTTAGCTGTGAACACTCCAAAAAGTCCCAGATGGCTGCTGGAGAGAGTGTAGAGTTATGAAGGTTGAAGGATGCACAGCCTAGGGGTCGACACTGATGGATGGAGTCCTCCCTGGATGCCGGCCACGGACAGAAGAGAAGAGAAAAAGAAGAAGGAAGGAAGTTGCTTTCTGTGATCTCTGACCTTCCTCTTAGCTTGCGTAGATATATGGAAAGGAATATCTCTGGCCAATTTTGCTGTCTGTCTAATTCAGCCTCCTACGGGGGGCATCATAGATCTCCCAGTCGAGTCTGAACCGGCAGGGCAAAGATGTGACCTTGGTGTCCCGGCAGTAACATAAACATTCCAGAGTTATCAGTCCTAGCTGGAACACTTGCTGCTAGTTAAAAGAGAGCTTACTGAAGGAAAAAAAAATCAGTAAAAGGAAAAGTTGCTTTGTCCTGGCTCAAAGCAGGACACTTGGACATGCAGAAATCTATGGGATACACCTAAGGGTATTGCAGGAGCTGGTGGAAGTGCTCACCAAGCCACTTTCCATCATCTGTCAGCAGTCCTGGCTAACTGGGGAGGTCTCAGTTGTATGGAGGTTGGCAAATGTGACCCCCATCTACAAGAAGGGCCAGAAGGAGGATTTTGAGAACTATAGGCCTGTCAGCCTGACCTTGGTGCCAGGGAAGGTTATGGAGTAGATCATCTTGAGTGCTATCACACAGCACATAAATGAAAACAAGGCAATCAGGCCCAGTCATCACAGGTTTAGGAAAGGCAAGTCCTGCTTGACGAACCTCATCTCCATCTATGACAAGGTGACCTGCTTAGTGGATGACAGAAAGGCTGTGGATATTGTCTACCTAGACTTTAGTAAAGACTTTGACACAGTTCCCCACAGCATGCACCTGGAGAAATTTGCTTCTCATGGCTTGGACTAGCGTACGCTTTGCTGGGTAAAAAACTGTGGCTGGATGGCTGCGCCCAAAGAGTTCTGGTGAATGGAGTTCAATCCAGTTGGTGGGCAGTCACAAGTGGTATTCCCAAGGGCTCAGTATTTGGGCCAGTTCTCTTTAATATCTTTATCAATGATCTGGATGTGGGGATCAAGTGTACATGCAGTAAGCTTGCAGATGAAATCAAATTGGGCTGGAGTGTTGATCTACTTGAGGATAGGAAGGCTCTACAGAGGGATCTGGACAGGCTGGATCAATAAGCCAAGGCCAATTGTTTGAGATTCAACAAGGCTAAGCATCAAGTTCTGCACTTGGGCCACAACAACCCCATGCAACACTACAGGCTTGGAAAGCTGCCCAGTGGACAAGGACCTGGAGGCTTTGGTCAATAACCAGCTGAATATGAGCCAGCAGTGTGCCCAGGTGGCCAAGAAGGCCAACAGCATCCTGGCTTGTATCAGAAATAGTGTGGCCAGTAGGACTAGGGAAGTGATTGTCCCCCTGTATTCAGCACTGGTAAGGCCTCACCTTGAATTCTGTGTTCAGTTTCAGGCTGCCACTAAAAGGAGAACATCAAGGTGCTGGAGCAAGTCTAGAGAAGGGCAAAAAAGCTTGTGAAGGGTCTAGAGCATAGACCTTATGAGGAGTGGCTTAGGGAACTGAGATCGTTTAGCCCAGAAAAAAGGAGGGGAGACCTCTACAACTACCTGAAAAGAGGTTGTAGCAAGGTGGAGGTTGAACTCTTCTCCCAAGTAACAAGTGATAGGACAAGAGGAAATGGCCTAAATTTGTGCCAGGGGAGGTTTAGATTGGATATTATTTCTTCACTGAAAAGCTTTTCAAGCATTGGAACAGGCTTCCCAGGGAAGTGGTGGAGTCACCATCCCTGGAGGTATTTAAAAGATACGTAGATGTGGGACATGGTTTAGTGGTGGAGTTGGCAGTACTGGGTTAGCAGTTGGACTTGATGATTGATCTTAAATGTCTTTTCCAA